CAGAATTCCCTAGCCAGCTGGCTGGGGAATTCTGGGAGTTGAAGTCCACACATCTTAAAGTCACTGAGTTTGCGAAACACTGAGATAAACCAAATTCCATTTGATTCTTTTGTTACGTTACTACATATCTTGCTATTGTAACCTAGTAAGACGAGTTACAGTACAATCTTAACCAGCGTTTCTCAACTTTAGCAACTTTATGATACATGGACTTCAACTCCCAGCACTTCAGCTTCAACTCCCATGCTGGCTGGGGGATCCTGGGAGTTGAAGTCCCCACATTTTAAAGTCGCTAAGGTGGAGAACCACTGATCTCAACCATTTTCGCCCAGACGTCAGCACCAGATGCGATCTTCCTTTTATTATTCTGTGGCTCGAGAGAATCCCGGGATGCGCGTTCATCCGCTGGCTGACCAAGACTCAAAGACCATGTTTGCGGCCACCGTGTCTTCAATGGCCATCCCTGAAAACGAATTGAAATCGAGAGTCGTGTGAGGAAAGCCACGCGCAGGATCTTCCTGGCTCCAAACCGTCCAGCAGATGATAACCAGATGGTCTGTTTTGCAAAGCAGCAGGTGACTGTTTCAACCCCCCCCACCCCAACTCTGCTAAACAAGCCTTTCGGACAGCCTCGTCTTGCTCCCACTGGTCAGGAAAAAATTGAAGCAAGTGAGGCATCCAGGTTTTGACTGGATGGATGCTGGTTTGTGCCGGGAAAGCAGATGTTCCATTGTTCAGGAGTCACCCCTGGCTTTCTACAGCACATCAGCTGCGCTCCAGAAATGAGCAGAACCAGGACATATGGGGCAGGGGGGAGAGTTAAGGGGCAAACCCGGTGCTCTGAATCTTTGCAAGTTTCCTTTTTAGCCCTCCCTCGGATGCAAATAAGAAATGGGGGTTGCCGTGGGCCCCACGCAGCATTTTTTGCACTCCTGCTTGAAGCCGTTTGCAAAGATCCCTCCCAGGCCTCTGAGGTCATAAACAAGTCCCCTGCTTGACGGGTCCCGGAGAAACTGCCCCAGAAGGGTTCTCCACCCCACCATTAAGGCAATGGCATATGGCGCGTGCTGAGTTTCCCAGATTGCTCAATGGGCTACGTGCGGGGTTTGACAAAACCGTTCTTCCTCGTTGCTCCCCTGCTGTGGATAATGGCTTTTATTCTCTTTCTGCAAAGGGGACACCGTGGAGCTGGCTGGGGGAGAACATGAGGCGCCTCAGTGGGGAGGTGGAGCACGATCACCCCCGCTTCCCTGTAAGGTGATGCATAATGTGCCCCCATTCACGTGAAGCCACGGGGTTTATCCTTACCCAATGATTTGAACACAGTTGTTTTCTCACGCAGGGCCGGCTTGCTTCCCAGTATCACCTCGCCAAGCTCGGCAAAAACGCTGGCCTGTGAAACACACACTGCTCTGTCACTGGCCGTGCCCCCCAGGCTGCAAACAGTCCTGCATCACTAAAACAGCTTCAGGAAGACACAGGCGCGTGGGAGGAGCCACCAGGATGTCCCACACGTGTCCCAATGCCATCACACAAACGATGCCCGGCACCCTCAAACACACAACTGCCTGTGGATCATGAGGCCATTGTGACATTTCCATGGCAGGACACAGGAGGGGGCTTCCACCTGTGCACAGATGCCTCTCCGTGCATGTGGAAGAATGAGATAACAGGTGGCGCGGGGAAACCCCAAATCTGAAGGAGCGCACACACAAGAAAAGAGGAAGGAGTGTCAGCCCTTCGAGGTAGGCCAGGTCAAGGAACAGACAGGGCAGGGATTCAGGAATACTACTTTGTTGTTGCAGGGTATATTAACCGAATCTTGAAAACGCGTCCAAACTGTCACTGCCCCTTTTTAATGACAACGAGATCAGTGCTGTTCTGGCAGGCGGTGGCAGGAAGGAAGGGAGGGAGGGAAGGGAAGGGAAGGGAAGGGAAGG